ACTTCGGAGCGATTATGGATATCAAGTTCGAATGTTCGCTAACTGCCGGCAACAAATTGGGCAACAAATTGGCTGGATAGACTGTATTATGCCCACTCCTCCCCATCTGGCGGTCTCCGTAAATTGTATTATAAAATAGATACTTTGTCCGAAATTTGTTGCAAAATTATAAAAGAATATTAAAATATTTAGCCGGAATTTTTGAAATCTTGGTCGCCCTCGATAGCCCTCCGCTACCGCTCGCTTTGAACAAAAAAAAAAGCCGCCAGATACAAAGTTGCAGCTCGACCCACGGAGCGTAAAATTTTAATTAAGCAAGTTGGAGTTCGTAAAGCACCCGATACACTAAGTAGCTAACTTGTCTGATACGACTTTGTATATATATAGCACGCCTGGTTTTATATTGTTCCACCCTTCGAGTGAATTATTAACATTTTAGTGCATCGCTTGTTGAATATACGGTTCCCGGCGTAAATGCAACAACCCCTGAATAATTAATCGGTCGGTACGGGTAGTTTGTTACAAGTTGCGTTTTGTGTTGCGGTGGTCGCCATTTTTTGCACCGCCTGTATACCGGACTCACATATATATATATATATATATATATATATATATATATATATATATATATATATATATATATATATATATATATATATATATATATATATATATATATATATATATATATATATATATATATATATATATATATATATATATATATATATATATATATATATATATATATATATATATATATATATATTCAGCTCCTCAGATAGCTTGTAACCAGTACGCCGGGTATATTGGTGCATTAAAGATGTAACATTAAAAATGAAGAATTGTTCAAAAAGATCTAAAAGTGTTAATAAATGTTTTAAATCAACTTCATGGTTACGGTTTACTAGGTCGAAGAAATAGTTGAACTTTAATGGTCAGAGAAGAAACTGGTCTAGGAACATACACTAAACGTATTAGTATCGATCAAAAGAGGCAGTTGTCGAAAAATTGTCTAGCTAGTAGGGTAGGAATGTCGGTTCGTAGCCTTCTGTCTAAAAATTGATCAAGGAAGACATCCTGTTACTAATACGGGCATCAAATGACCCTGATAAGGAGCATAGTCAAGATCGGCAGGCAAATAAGTATTACGAGGTTAGCGCCAAAATTTCCCGGCCTGACATAGATGCAGCTCGAGTATCACGATAAAACTTTGTCTTCTTTTAAATATATATCTTAGTAGGCTGCGAGAAAAAATTGAAGTCTTGCGTCAAATAGTTTTTTATTGACAGTATTTTAAACAAGAAGTGTCCGAAAAAAATGTCGCAAATAACGCAAATTCAGTATCGAGCAGTCATAAAGTTTTTGACAAAAGAAGCGTTAGCACCTAAACTAGTAGTGAAAAAATGGGCAAAACGTTTTCGAATGGGGCAGGAGTCCCTTGAAGATGATTCAAGAAATGTTCGACCAGTGGAACTCATAACGGAAGATATTGCGATTGTGGAAGAGGTGGTATTGAATGATCGACGTTTAAAGGTCAAGGAAATCTCAGAAATTACTAAGCTTTCTGATACAAGTGTTCGTCGAATCCAGCATGATCATTTAGTTATGCATAAGGTTAGTGCAAGGTGTGTTCCTAAAAAGATGTCGGCTATTCAAAAACAACGCCGTGTCGAGTGTGCGCGGTCTTTTTGGGAAGTCTGTGGGTCGGAGATAGAAACTATTGTGACGGGAGATGAAATTATGGTTCTCTATTATGTCCCTCTATCGAAAAAAGAATCAATGGATTGGCGTCGTAAGGGTGAAGCACCTTCAAGAAAATTCAGAGTTTGCCAGTCAACAAATAAATTGATGGCCACGATCTTTTGGGATTGTGAAGTAATTCGTTTGATAGATTTCAAAGAAACTAATACCACTGTCAATGGTAAATATTACGCAATATTATTACATAAATTGCGAGACCAGAGGCGTGCGTCTTTTGCACGATAATGCACCTGTCCATACTGGTGGTGTTGCACAAACTGCCATTTTAGAGTGTGGGTTCCAACAGATAGATCATCCTCCCTATAGTCCAGATACGGCCCCCAGCGACTATTATTTGTTTAGATATTTGAAAAAGGACTTACGTGGAAAAGAGGCTGTTTTAGCTCACTTTGTAGATAAACAAAAAGAATTCTTTTTTTAAGGATTGAGTTATTAATAAAGAGTAATAAGTATATTGATTATATTGAAAAATAATAAAAAATAGTTACTCTACTTTGTTTCTTCCATGTTCAGGCCGAGAAATTTTGGCGCTGCCCTCGTATGTTTGAGACGATATACAACTTTGAGAAGAGAGACGAAAAATATTCTTCCGCAACCGACATATTCTAATGGTTTACATCTCCGTGCGCACCGTGTGCTTTTACGGATGTTTCCGCGTAATGAAATATTGCCATGAACGGTAGACCGCCAAGGGCGCAATGTTCGGATTAAATTGTGCGTAAACAATAAACTTAATCACACTGCTTCGGGGAGAGACGACGCGGTTATTAAGCCCACAGAACGAAGGTGCATCGACCGACCGAAACGGATACCTTTCCTACCCCAATTTTAAAAAGTGACGGAGACTAAAACTGTTCGGTGGTATAAATTCTCCATCGCCTCATAACCACAATTCAATCTAGAGACAATACATTTCGTTTGGTCCCGGACGACCCTAAATCCTCGTAAAACTGCTTTAGGTGTTAAGTTACGTGCCGGGACGGGTTCGGCCCCATATATCAATCGTAAAAGAGGTGCAGATTTATTTATAAATGGTTTCGTACCGGTACATTATGGTCTGGCCCGGGAGTGTCGGTTTGATTTTTCCCGTAAAGGCAATTTATCCGAATTTATGCGCAAACGGCTATATAGAGACGGTTGCCCTATTAGAGTTTACCCCGCTTTCAAGTAAATGTATACCTCGTATTTCCGTCGGGGTTGGTTCTGAAATATCTCGAAGGTAAAATCATATTTCGCTGCCTTAATGGAGAATCGCGTTTAATGGTTAGTTTTTTTTTTGTGTTAAGTGCCGATAATGATGTTTGCGGCAAACAAATATGCTCCGCGCGATATACGAAATTATCGATACATGTTAACCGTTGCCGTTTAATATGCGAAATGGACAGTTTGAATGACAAACGAACGTTCGTTTTCCCGACACTGAAAATGTACACAATCAATAACCATCATTTTTATTATCCAATCGCTATAATAGAATTGGTCATCCATAAGAAGTAGTGCGATAAAGTATTTTTCGGTTTTGTTGGGTAGAAATTCATATTAATTAATTGGAATAATATAATATTTTCAATAATAATAAAGTAATAATTTTCTAAAACGTTTGTCAGTTGTTATTGAAGTCAACGTTGAACACGTTTTTTATGTAGTATGTACTGCAAAAGTTGCATAAATTAGTAGCTGACGTATTTCGCCATCGACCAAGCATGAACTCAAAACACGCGTATTACTACGCATATAGATTATTAATTGTAACACTGGTCCCGCATTTGTAAAATCGTGAATTGGAATTTACGTTTTAAAATTAAATTTATGTACTGCACATATATTAATATGTAGTTAAATGACCAGATTGGCTAATGTATCGAATACGGCGAGCAATAAACTCCCCACCCCTTCTATTTCGCAAGTAATTAAACGGGGATGTTCAAAAATGAACGCCGATATGAAATTTATCGAATTTTAAAACCGCCGCCCCTCGCTCGTCCCTCAAACAACACCGTACGGTTAATTAAAATTGCCCGCCGGTATTGGTAAAATTATACGTTGAGAGTAAAACTCGAATTACCCAGATACGTACAAGAACATTTCCCGTTGGTTTGACTGCAATGGGGACAAACAGGGAACCGGGAACAATCTCCTAGGTCCAGTCACGTTATACACAAATGTCTTCTAATCTAATCTTCATTCGGAGTGCCTACCCCAAGGCGATTTGCATTCAAGTCGTGGGAGACGGAGTTCGCGCACACGACTGACAAAACGGTTAAAAAATTGACACCATTTTAGTCTTCCGCTTTTTCGATTGATTTTTCTCTGTCGATGCGGTTCAGATACCGGCAGTACCCGGATATTTCCAGAATTCTTCATCACTACGCAAAGCTAACTCATGAAGTTACGGTCCAGAATGTTCATTTAAAGCTCTCCTGGTAGCAAAACTTATAGGAGCTCCTGAGGTATCATAATTTAAAACTAACTTTGGTTTAACGTTTCTCTGCAGTTTCCGGTTCCACTACATTTCTCAACCAAACCTAATCAAATCAAAAACTTTTAAAGTTTAAGGCCACGGTTAGAGGCATATTAAGTGTGACGATGATGATTTCATGTCGTCAACCATTTTGTCAGTATTTTGGGAAGATCCAAGCAGCATCAAACAGGAATACCCAGGGTGTAAAAGGTAAAACCCTCTCCCTGCAAGGGAAATGGCGGACGCTTTCGCGGCGATGATAATCCCGCAGCCGTACAAACGAAATTGACCTGTTTGGAGGTTATTGAAAATGTTCGAAAACAAAACCTATTAAAACTCCTAATCGGTCGATTACCCGAGCTAATTATGCGGCAAAAGCTATCAAAGTTGGGGCCCACTGACAAAACCGGAGGGTTTATAACTATGATTTCCCTCGTTACCGGCCGAAACAAAGGGGCCAATTTGTTTTTCAACTAGGTGGAGCGAAAGTTGATCGATGAGACGAAAACGATATGTCAAAGGAAACGACGTAAAACAGAACGCCATCTTTTGTTCGCGTCTCAAATTATTCGCGACGTTCGGGGTCATCAATCAGCCGTTATAATTAATTAACGTCTCCGTATCTATACGGATTTCGGGTACAGTCTCGTCAGAATTATATCGTCGGGCTGTATTATTTCTTTACCTGAGTCACTGCATTCTTAGCTAGTACACACGACGCTCATTTAACGTCTTTGCTTATTAACGCAGTGTGTTTTTTTTTTTGCTTTTGTAGCCGAATCTAAAAAGGACCACTGCAACAAGACGGTCGACATTTATGAGGACGTGGCTAGTCCCGAAGTGACTGCCGAAAATTTCGGCAAGCCTATGACTTGCTCGTACCGTTTCCGGTCGTTCCGGGGTACGCCGAAGGATTGGATTTTACGGATTAAGTTCAACAAGTTTAAAGTCGGCAACCTATTAAACGGCAGCCATTGCGAGGGAGGGTACATGCAGGTAAGTCCTCTATTTTTGTATTTATTTTCTTGTTATGACGATCAGCTTAGGACGATTTTCGTTTATGTTCTTTTTTAATCTATTTATAGCACAAAAATAATCATCGGTAAATTCCTAAAGTTAAATTACAATGAACAATGATAGAAAAGAACAAAACTGTAGGTATAAAATGTCTAATTCATTGATAAGTCCATTTAAAAATGGTAAACGCACAAAGTTGAGATGGCGATTTCTTGTGAAGTGATGAAGTGAGTCCACACAATTTTAATCAGTTTAATTAATTAGTTTGATAGAATTTCTTGCGGCGCGGAAGCATCCTTCGCCCCCCCCCTCCGCATCGGAATTTGCAGAGACATTTTTCACGATTTCAAATTAACTTGACATCTCGATTCACCCGTCTCTCGCTTCCTAGCAACGCGATTAATTACGCGACGCGCGTGAGGAAAATGTCCCTTAATGAACACATACACATACCCACAGCCTCCCTTCGACGCGCCTCGCACGCATCAATCCAACACCCGTTTAATTTGACTCTGACTCTGGTCTCTCTCTCTCTCTCTCTCTCTCTCTCTCTCTCTCTCTCTCTCTCTCTCTCTCTCTCTCTCTCTCTCTCTCTCTCTCTCTCTCTCTCAATATATATGTATATATATCAGTAAATCAACGCCTTGTATTACTTATACGTCGCCTAATTTATTCAAAGGCGAGCTTTCCCCCGTCACCCGCGTCCACCCCCCTTAGCGGAAAAACGATGATGAATGGATCGTCGAGCGACGGCCCGAAATTGATGGGGCTAATTAAAGTTAAAACACTCGCCAAATTCAACAGCGTCCGGGTGAGGGGGGAGCGATGCTCGAATCTCACGTATGTCAGATTTTGCCTTAAATTTGTTCCCGGTGTGTCACATTCAGTTTCTTGGGTAATCCCATTCAGAAATCACTTAGGTCAGGTGTTAAATTGGTTTATTACAATAAATTTAATAGATGTACGGACTACATTTCACACAAAATGTGACCTCCTTGCTGAATATGTGAAATCGTTGCGACGAAACTGTCTACAACAATTAGTTCACACCTACATCTGAAATATATATCAGGTAGGTTGGATTTTGTGTTAAATTTGTCGTTACTTCTTGCATCGGTTAAATTCTGTGTTAAACACACAGTCGCATTACAAAATGGGTTTAAATCCATACATATGCTTTAAAAGTGCCGCATCAAACACAAATGCTTGAATGTGTTAATAATATATTATGCAACAAGTGCGGTAAATGGCATTTGACTCACGAGTTTATTTGACACGAGCGGAGCGAGTGTTTAATAAACGAGTGAGTTGAAAAATTTACCGCAGTGAATGTATTCGTATTGTTTCGCAAACGTATACCCAAAAACTAAAGGTCATAGATTGATTGTTAAATGCCCTTTACCGCACTGGTTGCACAATATGTCTTACAAAATGTGTTTATTCTTGGATACCTTATATTTGAACATTCACAAAATTTCATTCACGAAATTTGTATGACGTAGATTAGATTTTTTAAATTAAATTTCGTTTATATGTTCCTTGTACGTCGCTTGTACGTAACGTAAGTCAGGTTACCGTCTCACGATCCGAATCCGTATAGAGTTCTGTATTTTCCACGAGCGTCGCAGCCGTTCTAACGATCGAAACGAATGCATAAATACTTATGCGCTTAGCTTTAGTTGAATATATAATGATCTTCGTTGGTCGCGACGTACACCATCATTATATTTGAATTAATCTCTGGATACTTTCGTAGAGACGTAGACAAGGTCGCGTAGATTCGAAAATATTAAGCGATAACTTATCTAAATGTCTTGCGTTTGATAATAAAAAGAATAACCAATTTGGCAAAACTGCCATGTGATAGTATATTATACAACAAGTACGGTAAACGGCATTTGACTCACGAGTGAGATAAAGAGTTTACCAAAGGTGTTGCATACTATACTTTTTCTACGACCGTATCGAAAAAATCAGAATTTAACAAATTAAAAGTAATAACAGATTATTGGATTACTAAATTTCGTACCATTAAAACAACATTTTTACCAGTTGCCATTAAACCTACTAGTTTATGGTTCCTACCGGTTCTGCTATTGTTGTCTCTCTTCAACTGTGTACGTTAGACAGAGAGAGATGTATTATTGGATATGTCCATACATGGAATAAACACAATTTCAAAACTTTATGTTGTTTATTTAACTTTTCAATTGATCATTAAGTAGTTTATTTAAAGAAAAAGACTGTAGTTGGAAGGAAAATCATCCAATGATAGAGCTGTTAAGAGGATTACATTTTTAAGGTCTTATTAGCAAAAAACAGCAGGTGCTAACCTTCAATTTTGTTAAGACATGGATATTTAAAAATGGTACAATTGGTCTTGGCAAGATATTAATATAAAAACTGTAAAAACCACTAAAGTTCTTGCGAATGGTACGTAAAATTTCTGTGGGAAACTTTTATAAATGTCGCTTTACTTACCGACTACTTCACTAGATTTTAATTGTAGCTTATAGCACGCAGTATTTAAATTGTCTGATATATTGCATACCATTTTTCTGTGCATTAGTTTTTAAGTACATTTTTGCAATACGACAGCAATACATTCACTGACATGACCGTCAGAATTGACAAACGTCAAAATTCAAACCGTGCGGTAAAATCTCCGAAAACATCCGATTGCCCCTAAACTCGTGCGGTAAATTCCAGGAAATCACCGAAGTGGCTGGGATCCGTGGAAAAAAAAACTGACGTGGTAAAGTGACGCTTCTTCTTCTTCTTCTTCTTTTTCTTTTAATTGCCATAAGTATATGTAATATATTAATAAATTTTCTTAATAACTAGAGAGCCGTTTTCCAGTGACGGGTATACATTAAAAATATGCTTCTATGATAGTAGTTATTTTACCTGAACATTTTCTGGGATAATGACGCAATTTTTGGGATAAACTGCGAACCGCGTGCTGAGCTTATAATTTTGGCTTTTCAATTTCGGTCGACGGTCCGTATCGCACGAGATTACTCGTTCGAACGACGTATTTATAGGGGGTAGAAAACAAAAACCACCCTGAAAGTTTAACTGTACCGTTTGATAATAACGCGAAAAACGATGCCAGCAAATGGGGCTCCTTTTGATACCAACGAAATCCATTAGCGGCTTCTATTCAGGAGTCCCGCCGACGGGAAACTTGCAAACATTTTGCATCCCCCACCCTCGAGCCGGCCCCGTTGTACGCCGTAGAGCAGAAACTGAAAGTTAACGGCTGAGATTGAAAGCAAGCTTTTTTCTTAGCACTTTGCTTGTCCGATTCGCATTGCAAAATTCAACGACATTAGAATAACGCCACAATGACGTCATAGGGTCGTCCTGGTTTATTTTCAACGTTATGTTATTACAAGTTCAAAAAATAAATCTGAATTTTGTCCAACGTACAGATTTAGTGCACACGGTTTGAAGTCAGACATTAAGGTTAGGACAACGTCAAAATCGCGTTTAACCGACGTTCTGAAGATGTGACTTATTAATCTGTCTCTGACAACATTGTCACACGCGATGAATTGAATCCCCATCACCGTCAAACGTACGGGGTTTATAGTGGATAGCTTTACGCCAAGCGTTGATTTCTTAAAAATCGCGTTATTTCGTTGTCGCGAACACGTTGTTAATCCGTTCCTCTCGTTTTAACTCAAACTGTTACAACTTTCTTTGGGAGAAATTGTTTCGGTGGTAAAATTAGCCGCGGCGAAAAACAAACGCGTATGTGAGGCGGCGGGGGTTCGGGAATCGAATGCCGATTCCAAAAGGCAACCGTCAAAGCGAAAGAAAATGGAGCGGCGGGATTTTTATTCAGAGTTAAACATATTTTTGCTTTTGGCACAAAAGGCGGGCGGATCGAAAACACGACAAAAAAAAACCGCCGGCAACAATGCCGCCCCCGCGCTTGATATATTACCCTCCGGGGGTTTGGGTTCAAACGCCATATTACTTTTTGCCGTGGTGGTCGAGAATTCCTTTAATATTTTGCCCGACGTAGCGTACGCTTTTTAATCGTCGTTCTTGTTTTATTTTTAGCAAAATAAAGAAACGGTTCGTATTGCCATAACCTCAAACAGGTGACGGCTCGTGACAAGCGACACGGGCAGTGACGGTGCAACAATTGTTTGAAGGTTTCGCCGAAATCAAGAACATTTTTCTAACCTAAAACATATTTATAGAGAGCGTTGATCTTTTCAGGTTGCTGTGTCTAGACGTGGAAGGCGGAGTAAAACAGCCATATTAATGAAAGTTCTTTAGAACCAATGATTTATTATTATTTATACCATCAATAAATTTAATACATACATGACAAAGTCTGGATGGGTCTTGCGTGGCGGAGTCTTTGGGGCCTGCGGCGGGGCGCGGGTTCAGTCTCCTGTTACGTATTATGTTAACGACGCGTTATCGATTCGCATAGCAACAAAGGTTCTCGTTATCGACGGCGAGAAGAATGAAAGCACTCGAATTCCCGGTGCACGATTCTTTGAGTTTCCCTTTTGCCGTCGTTAGGGGGCTCCTCTCTAAAAACGGGTCATTAGTCTTCTGCTGTTTCCTAGCGTCGCTCGCGGCCGTTTTATGCAAAGTATCGGCGACCGTTTTCGGTGCATGGAGTGGAGAGATCTTGCGCGGCGCGCGGTGTCGCTGTCCAGATACGTTTAGAATCACACCGTGGAATTATTGAAAATCATTTTTTTTTTGAAAATATTGTTTGGTATTTAACTAATTATTGTAACCTATAACAAATCAAGTTTAATTAATTAAATAATAATATAAATTTTAATAAGATAATTATGTAATAATTAATAAATGTATCAAAAATTAGATGAATTAATGTAACTAACGGAATTAATTAATTATTAATTATTTAATAATATTATCAATTATTAATCCTTGATTTAAATTAAATATGTTAATGAAATGACTGCGCCAATTATGTATCTTAA